CGGGAGCTTCGCACCGACTCTGCGGGACACGAAGGCCTCGTCACGCGACTCCCGGGCAGCGTTCTGGATACGATTTTCGGGAAAGAATCGACAAAATGACGTGTTCAAAAAGGGATTTAGATGAAAGATATCTACCATCAGTGTGTTTTCATAACACACTCCGGGTCGATGCACTTCTCTTTAAGCTTCTTTCATTGCACTGCTCAACATTTTAATTCCGTCCCTTTTGTTTTTTTTGTTGCACACGTTCATATAACCTGGGCACAATTCAAGCTGCTATCTACCACGTGAGATAGTGCCGTTTGTTGCTGACCGCCTGGCATTCTGGGCCTTTGGCTAAGCGGCTATGGTAGATCACTATTTGCAACAATGAAAACAACAACACTAATAAACTGGAGTTGTGTTGCTTTTTGGGTTCATTTTTCACGTCTTTTTAGTCTCCCGCTTGTTTCGGTTAAATAACCAAGATGAGGATAATGTGTGACAAGTTCAAAGCTCACAGGTCAAGAGGTTAAAGATTTGGCTTCCTGGGTTGGCGGCCCACGTGGGCATCATTATACCGTCCGTCAAGACCTTTCAGTGGACCTTTCGGACGGAGCGCTCAAGCGGCATAGAGCAAGCATCTGGACAACAGGGTGGATAGCGTCCTCGCACGGAATTTAGGTCGAGAGCATTCGGCAATTTCGTCGAATCCTTTTTTTCCCCCCGAGAAAGGAAAGTTACGGGGCAGAGCAGCGGTGGCAATAAACGAACGTGTGATTTTTTGTTGTTGCTGACACACCAGCACAATTAATAATAAAACAACAACAAATGTGTCGATAACACTGCCACAAAGAAAGTGTATCTATGAGATGACATTTCAGGTAATGGGCACTGCTTCATCGCGTATAAATCAAGACAGCCTTGTTAGGGATTATAAAGACATTGCAAGGGCAGGCCATTCCTCAGCAGTGCCATGTGAGTTCAACAGCATTTTTAAAACTCATCGCAGTTAGGAAACGATGTGAAATAAAAAAAATATAAGCATATGCTTGTTAACTGGCCAGGGTAATGGATGCTTCACAAGTATTCCCCAAACATCTAATGTATTAGATTGGCATACACATAATACAGGGTATGTACAGTACAATGTTAATGTACACACATGCTTTGCAGCAGTATCTCAATTGTGCAATCCCTTACCAATACGATAATTAAGTCAACATTTCTCCCAAGGATAAAATAGGGAAAAGAATCGATCTGGAAGTTGATAGTTTCAATTGATAACATAATCCCTATCACACAATGATGCAGCGGCTGGGATTATAGACCATTGGTGAGCAAGACGATTTGTGACTGATCACTTTGATGAATTATTAGACAATTGCACATCCTGTTTCATCTCAGTATGAGCGTTAAATGAAGTTACCATGATGGGGGGGTTTGGGTTCATATTAATATTGTTTACTTACTCTCTAAATGTAATTGCCGGGATTATTTTCCATCGTTATTTTACTTAGTGGTATAGACTTTTATATGTTGAAAATAAGAAATTAAGGACACTAACTATATTACTGCAGTGTTACACATGGTCTGTTCTCCTCTATGGAAATTAAAGCTGGCCATTTATGAAGACCCGACAGAGCAAGCTAGAAGCAACTTATTTTAAGAAGGATGCTACAAATGCAATGGATAGAAAAGATGAGTAACACAGATGTATTACAGATAGCAGGTACAAAAAGAAATTGAATAAGAATAATTAGTGGAAGGCAATTCAGACTTCTTGGACATGTAATGAGAAAACAAGAGACTGAATATCAATGTTTTGACTGGGAAAATTAAAGGTTGGACAAGAAGCCGGGGAGCATCTAATGCAGAGTTCTTGAGTGTCATGGACAGAGCAAAATGGAAAGAGGCCGTGATTGCTGACGCATTTGAAAAAGGACATACATGGCTCACAGAGAGATAGACTTTAATAGGACACGTATTCCCATCTGTGACCATGGCCATGACCAATCATTGCCGAGGGGGAGTAAAATAATAATAATACGTATTTTTAAACTTGAACAGAAGGTGGGAGTCGTCAAACGGCAGAAGACAGCGAATGTTTTACCCCTCCCTGCACACTACGCAATTAGACACACGAGGACTGTCCGTGACATCGCAAACCACAAGCTCAACGTGCGGGAAGATGTTCTCTCGAGTCCGATGCCAAAATCAGCCACGCCAAGGAGGAAAGCCACGTGCCCTGGAACTCCCTCCGAGCTGGGCCGAGTCTCTGGGCGCGCGATCTCCAAAGGAGGCAGAATCCTGCGGTCCTGTCCATCAGTGGCCCAGCGCCGTATCAGAAGGCCCCTGGACTTCTGATACGGCCGCTGACAGTGGTGACGAACGCCTGATTTGCCGCACGAGACAAGAGATTTGGCTCCGTGCCTTCGAAGATCGGTATGGAATTCGACAGCTGCTCGTCTCAGACGAGCGACGTGCAGAGGCACTGGGGGATGCTGCAGCTGCCTGGACGGGACAGATTAAAGCCGCGGTAGACACGGGGCGACGACTGCTCGGTCGAGGGAGGCCTTCATCCAGCAGCGGATTGATTTTGGCTGCTGCTGACGATGATGGTGAGAGAAGGGACCAGCCCTGTCTATGCTGTCGGCTTGCCGCAACCTCCAATTAGCGCGGTTGGCTTCGTACGGTACGAAAGAAACGCAACACACGTCCACTGACACACATTGCCGTGCAGGTGAAGACCCTGCCGAGCCGAAACATTGTCCGTCCAAAAATATTTGCGGGCCTGAATGTTGATGTAAGCTCTTGGCTTCGAACAGCGTCAGGTTTTCGCAGTTGTGCCCTACAGCTTCGTCACGTGGTTTTCGGATCGTGCCGCGCGTTGGACAGTGCGACGCGCCACGCACGTATCGCAAGCACGTGTCGTTGGGAGCGTGGAGCAAAACGTCGGACATCGTTCCCAAGAAAACCACGGTACAAACCCGAAAAAAACGTCGAGCAAGATTTGCATCACGGTAACAACGTGCATAGGTGGTGGGTGACCATCTGGTTTCGGGAGGGCTGACTTTATACAAAAACGCATTAAATCTAATGTTTTAATAACATTATACTTTCAATTCCATTCGGAAAACGAATTTCTAAAAACGAGAGACGCAACTTTGTGAATAACAAGATCATGTATGCCAGTCGCCCGCGTGCTCTGCGAGTGGATAACCTTAACTCGCAACAAGTCCGACTTTAATAGTTTTTTTTAATCGAGTGGCCTTGTTTTTTGGCCTGCCACTGATGTTACCTGGGGCCAGAAATCGAACTCAGGTTGCCAGATTGATTAGTGCAATGTGCTAACCGCTGAGTCACCGCTCCACAGATGTGGGTTTTTAAGTGCACTTACATGAACGCTTAATCGCAATCTCTGCAAATGTTTTTGCACATTTAAAAGTAAGCCACGAAAACAGACTCCAATTTAGTACGCGATATTTATTATAAACCAAACACAGCTTCGTACACAAAAGACAAACGGACACACGCGCGCACGAGAAAGTAACACTGTAAAGCAAAGGAGGAGAATGATGGTGTGCATTTCATTCTGAAATGTTATTTTTTTTTAAAAGTTCACTTTACAAAGTAACAAGAACGACCCATTGGTCTTGTCACCAAATCAAGCATGTGTGCGCCTCTGGCAGTACGGGCTAAGGTTGAGGCTTTCAGTTTGATTGCGTGAGTAATCACAGAGTCATCCTTTTTGGCAAATTAATTTATTTTTATTTCATTAATACCTGCTTCGTACCGCTCGCGGCAGTGATTTTGGCTAATTGGCCGAAATCAGGCTCTGCTTGGCACGCTATAGGCGCCAGGGCTGATTCAGCCTGCCTCGCTGCAGCTGTAACAATCCCATTCACTTGTTCCTACAGCCCCCTTCGTTATTTCTAACCCCAAAATTATTTTTTTTTTGCACGAGTTCTCTCTTACATTGGTTACGCACTGCTCTTTTACAGGAAAACCAAAACGGATTTGTTTTATTCCTTTCGACTTTAAACAACATCATCACCTTTCCAGCAGATACAAATCTTAAATAAGAATCAGTTTTTTTACGTCCAAAAAACCCCGGCTGTGGTGAGGCCGCTTAAGAAGGCGAAGTATGTCCATCATGCACTCACAAATCCTCAACACATCCGTCAACAACACTGCCCTAAAAGGAAAATATAATAACAAATATAAAACAGGCGACGTTTAAAACATGTACAGTTTCAATAACCCTGCATCACAGCAGAGAGGGGACAACAAAAATCCAACGATGCACCAATTCACGACTGCTGGCACAATATTCTGGCGAACAACCACATCCGTTAAATTTTGATTTAAAGCTTTTGTGACTGCAGGGATTCATATTCTTGGTTCTTTCGGTAAAGTCACGTCGGAGGGAAACAATAAAATAATACAAAAATATAAAACAATAAAATTCTCACGACGTTTTGACTGCAACACAAGCAATCATCATCAGGTGTGAAAACCACAGCAAGAAAATTTGAAAAAAGTGGCGGTTTTTTTAACGTTAGCACCACGGAAGGCGATTTGGCAGTTTGTTCAGATGGACGAGTCCATCTATGTTCGGAAAAGAGGAGGGGGGAGACGAAAATAATGGATGCGGTCTGAAAGCCACCGTAAGCGTGAACAATCAATTAAGACCCGAAATGGTTTATCAAATCCTTCCAATGATTGGTAAGCCAGAATCCATCTTCTCGGTTGAAATTGTCTCTGTGTTTGTATATGAGGATAGCCTCATGAACGAATCTCTCATTGACTTCTCCAAGACAGAGGTTCTTTGCAAGCCATCTGGATACCATGAGAGATTCGTTCATGAGGCTATCCACATATACAAACACAGAGCCAATTTCAACCGAGAAGACGGATTCTGGCTTAGCAATCATTGGAAGAATTTGATAAACCATTTCGGGCCTTAATTGATTGTTCACGCTTACGGTGGCTTTCAGACCGCATCCATTATTTTCGTCTCCCCCCTCCTCTTTTCCGAACATAGATGGACTCGTCCATCTGAATAACTGCCAAATCACATCTCCGTGGAGCAACGTTAAAAAGAAACCGCCACTTGTTTCAAATTTTCTTGCTGTGGTTTTCACACCTGATGATGATTGCTTGTGTTGCAGTCGAAACGTCGTGAGAATTTTATTGTTTTATATTTTTCATTATTTTATTGTTTCCCTTCTACATGACTTTACCGAAAGAACCAAGAATATGAACCACATCCGTGTAAAACAATAGTCGTCGCTCAACGTTCACATGCGCCACACGAGAAAGACGTGCGCGCGAGAGAGTTTGAGTTCAATAACCATCTCTCTGCTGTGCAGGAGGGCAATTGGCCAACGCGGTGCTTATTTTGTTTTCCCTCTTCAGGGCCACAGTGTTATTGACAAATGTGTTGTTTGTGCATGTGCACCGCTGCCAATGCAGTAACACGCATTTGTTTTTAATTATCTAAGCGCATACTTCTTGCTTAGAACGATACTCATAGAGCCTCCACCACCACCACCCTCCCTTATTAAAGGAAGTTTCGTCGTCTTTGCTGGCCAGAAAGGTCGGGAGATTTAAGGTTATCAATTACCCACACGTGCTGAAGTGCTTCCAATTTTTGCTACCGGGTGGATGGAGAGTGCATCGCCCACCTTGACTGGGAATCTAAACTTGGTGCCTCAGAGTGGTGAGTCCAGCCATGCTAACTCTTGTAACCGTCAAAACGTCAATATAGATTCCCATTCAACGCAGCAACACAGCGGTGCTCATCTCCATTGGTGATCCTGAGTAAGAGGTGGAAATTGCACATTCCCATGGCAGGGTCAGTTTATTTTAAAGACGATGGTTGATTTCTCATTAAGTGGGAATGATTTTACCACACCTGGAGGGATTATCAGCTGAGTTAACCCCTGACTGAGATTTAATCATCTACCTTTTGATTAGAAGCCATGCTCTCTGACCACGAGGGCCACGAGGCAAGAATGTTTAAATATTTACATCATCAACACCAGCCATTGTCGGTCCATTGCTGGATGAAGGCCTCCCCAATCCACCACCATCCTTCGCATTCCCACGATGTAACAGACAATCTCACTAGAAAATGAGCTGATATTTTTTTCCTCCATCTCCAAGGTGACCATCCTCTCGAGTGTGTTCGATTCTTTAGCTGCTGTTCCAGCACCAGTCTCGTCCATTGGCCAACATCCCTGCTTCGCGATGCATCCCACCCAAGCCCACTGACTTTCCTCAACGTTCAATATGAAGCCTCCAATCTATCCATCTCTCAGTGTAATTCCGAGTACGCATCCTCTCCACGCTCCACGTATCTTTGCGCAACTCTTTCAACTCTCGTTCCATTTTCTCTGTCAGTGTCTACCTTTCTGATCTAATACATATCGCCCGGCAAATATACACCAACTAAAAACTGTCCAAATTCTGACTAATTCGAAAAGTGCCCACAGATTACCTAACTGTGCACAGCATTCATTGCTCTCTCAAATGGCAGATTAATGCCCCCATGCCACTTTTGGAAATGAGACTCATCCTGGTCCCTTGAGTTCTCAAATGATTATAACCAAAATAAACAAAACACCTTTCCCCATCTTCAGACACATTGGAATGCTTGTTTTTCATTGTAAAGTTAATCTCCACAAAAAGCCCTCCATCCCGATGGTTTCTAAATTCCGTCCGACAACACAGCAGGTGGAACAGGGGGGGGGGGGGAGAGGGGAATGAAAACGTGGCAGAGTGCTGAGCCAACGCTTACTAATGTTTTATACTGCTGATATCCTGGCCTGGTATCCAGGTGTTCAAGTAAATTGAATTCTTGGTCTCAACTCAAGTCACCAGCGCAAAAACAAATAACTTACGGCGCTCTATCAATCCCCTCCTGGATGAGGGCCGCCCCCACATCATGCCAGTCATGGAGGTTTTATGACTATACTTCGCCACGCTGGTCAGCGCACGTTCGTGAAAGGGAGTGCCCAACATCGATTCTGACATCACTGGCCATTGATGTTAGGCTTGGCCCCTGGAATCGAACTGGGTTCATAGCACAGTGCGCGAATACCTGCACCACTGCGCAAAAATAATATATTTTTTTTGTTATTTTCTGAAAAAGAATGGCATTGGCGAAACTAGAAATATAATTGCATGTAAATTTAATGACACTGCACGTGTACCACATGTGGGCACGCGTACCGCCATCCCTCATGCCAAGCGCAACAGAGACCCAAAGATGCGTGCGGGCAGTGGCATAGCTACCGTGTGACCATGCGGTGCAACTGGGGTTTGCCGGCTGTCCTGGTTTTCTGAGGAGGTAGCTTGTCCTGGGGAAACTCGAAGCCTTCCCGGGACTTTAAAAGTCCTGGTTTTGGTCATTCGCATCATAAAATACCGCTCAAGACAATGCATTCACGTGGCGTTTTCCCCTCCGTTGCTGTTGTGAGATATTCTTGTTTCTTCCCATGACATGTCCCGGTTTTGAGTATCTCAGAGGCGACAACGCTCGGTGCAACTGCACCAGGGCCCACGGGGCAGGAGGTGCCCAGGCGCCGGGCCATGAAGAGGGAGGGAAGGCAGCGGGCAACGGGTCCCATTTTATTCCTTGCACGAGGACATCCGAATGCCAGCTTGTTTGTGTTGCCCGTGCACTGCTCCACTTTGGAAATCCCTCCCATCTTCTCTTCTCCCGGTTCTCAAAACCTTGCTCTCAGTTCAATGAACGCCTTCACTCGTCCATCAACACCTCCGACAGTGCCGTTCGTTTTGCGGCTGGCCGCTCGGCGATTTTTGGACCTTCGGCCACGTGCTCGGCAACCTCGACCCAACAACAAAACCCCCCCCCCCAAAAAAAAAAAAACCACCGACGCCACCGGGCGCGGGGACCGCCACCGCCTCCTCGCGTTCAGTTTGAGCCGGCGGACGCGGCGCGGTCCGCGTGTGCGGCCTCGCTCAATCGGCGCCGAGAGTGTGGGGGAAAGGGGGCGAGGGGGGGGGCGACGATCGCGCGTGGGGGGCCCCCCACCCCACCCCGCGGTCACTCCGTCTCCCCGTGCACGTTCTCCATGTGCACCTTCAGGTAGTCGTTGCGCGTGAACTTCTTGTGGCACAGGCGGCACTCGGCCATGGGCCGGTTGGGGTTGTGCGTGAGCTTGTGGCGGATGAGCATCTTCTTGAGGCTGAAGGACAGGTCGCACACCTGCACGCGGACACGGCAACGCACAGACGCGATCGCGACGCGAACGTGGGTTTTACGGGGACCGCGACGTCAATCCTGCCGCGTCGATGTTCGCGGTTTGTTTTCGGGCTGTACCGCCTCTTGACTTTTTGTTCCTTTCCCCCCCCCACGCGCCGGCTCGCAGCTACGTCGGAAACCGAAATGAAGAAGCTGCCAGCGTGTGGAGCGAAACGATGAATGTTCGATCCGGGCGCCTCTTGCCAGTATGTGCTGCTGTGATCGGGATTCCGAATTGGGTCGCTGGGTTCGTAGCGCAGTGTCTCTATCTCCCACTCTCTCCTCATCTCCGACCAAGGACACGGGGGGGAGGGGGCAACTTAAAAGTGGATACACCGATCCATCCCGATGGATATGTGGTGTCTAAATGCACCTACTTCTTAAGGTGCTGAATATAGAAGAGCAGAGATATTTATTTTATAGAGGGAAAGAGGTGGTTAGCCATAGGCAGATGGGGAAAAGATGTTTGCGCGAGAAGAGGGCCACGGAGTCAAAAGCACGGGCGGCTGGGGGAAGGCCGTCTCAGCAGAGGAGAAGAAGCCACCTCCCCACTGGCGACAATGAGTAGAGTGGGAAGAGGGGGGATGTAGGCACGGGCGAGTCAATGTAGAATTGTGAAGAGGGTGAGTGTGATCTTGACATTGACCTGCGATTGGATTGCGAGCCAGTGGAGCGATTAAGAGTATTGGGGTATGTTTCATTGATGGAAACACGACCATGAATGATAAGAGACTTCACCCAACTCTTTCGCAGAACAAGCTGGAAGCATTATTTTATCCTAGCGGGTGGATGGACGTGCGGCCAGTGGGCAGCCGGATGTTGACCCTGCTACTCCAAACATTTTCAGAGAGACGGAGACTTCAGCGACGTTTTCTATGGAGCATCGCGGCTCGCGGTGGCAGCTGGGCCGCGTGAGGCCGCGGACGAGGGATTTCCGCGTGGACGGGGGGGGCTGTGGGAATCACCCCAGCCTAGTTCAATCCCCCTCGCCCCATTTGAATCCACGACCCCTGCAGAACAATGCACATTGCTCAAGAGCTCCCTCGCAGCGATCACAACAACTGCCTTAGCGATGCACGGTCACGAACAGCAGGGTCCACCGAAGCAGAGCTCTAACTTGCAAGAACGACAGCTGTAGTTCGTGTTTGCTAACAAATGAACTTGCAAAGCGATGTTTAAAGCCGAGGCGTATTTTAAAAATGACCAACGTAAAACTTGCGTCGTGTGTTCGTTGACCTTGCCCGTCGGCGGCCGACAGAAAGTTAGCCAAGCTGATTTTTAATTCATATAACCAGGTGATAAATTCAAGAGCAACCAGGAAAGTACTTACTAAATTGGCCCGGGTGACCAAAATGTCAGAGAATAAAACTAAATGCTGCAAGGACAATAAACTAAAAACTTAAACTATTTTTATTTTCTTTGGTTCTTTCGGTAAAGTCACGTAGAATGAGAATAAAATAATAAATTGATAAAATAAAATAACACAATAATATTCTCACGACGTTTCGGCCACAACACAAGCGGCCTTCATCAGGTGAAGGGAGCGAGACTGTCTGGTAGCGCTGTCCTACCAGACAGTCTCGCTCCCTTCACCTGATGAAGGCCGCTTGTGTTGTGGCCGAAACGTCGTGAGAATATTATTGTGTTATTTTATTTTATCAATTTATTATTTTATTCTCATTCTACGTGACTTTACCGAAAGAACCAAAGAAGATGAATCATTGCAGTCACGAAAGCTTTAAATCGAAATTTATTTTTATTTTACCAGTTAAGGCCCACTGAGCTATATAGCTCTTTTTCAGAAGTGCCCTGGCCACAAATGATAGTTCAACGAAGTGGCTTATCACGTGGAAATTTCTTGCAGCCAAACACTCTAATCGCACGTTTCTAAATGTGGAGGGCAAAACCGGAGGACCCAGAAAAAAAATCTCCACTACCACGGGATGAGAGAGAGACACGCAAACTCCAAATATATAGGCGCCAGGGTTGGGTTTGAACCCACAACCTCCTCCATACCAGGCGAGGGAGTTAACATCTCGCCACCGCGGCACCCCTCATCATAAAATAATAGCAGAGACAAGGGTACAAGCACGATAGAGACGATGACAGCAGCAGGGCTGGACACATGGTCACGATGTTTATCGTTCATAACGACACCTGCACAGTGCACTGCCGAGACGCAGGCTACGACCGTTGGTAGCCACGGAGGTCAAATTAATGAACAAAAAAAAAGGAAATCGAGCACAACTAAAGGATCTCGCGTTTCTTCGCCCGGAATTAAAATCAGCTGGCACTAAATCGCGGGTTTCCCCGATATAATGGATTAGCCCACTAACCAACATAATAATACACATATTTTTTAATTGCTCAATTAAAACAATTATTGCGCTGTTGTTTTTTTGCGGGGGGGGGGGAGTTACACGTGGTGGTTTTGATTAAAACCCGCGCCTTAATTGATTTCGTTTGCATTTGCGCAGCATTAGGAACGTCGCCGTAAGACGATCAGCTGCTGTCTCGAGAACCACGCGTTTTTATTTTTTATTTTTCGTTTTTACCGGGCGGCTAAACATTTTTTTGTTGCTGTTGTTATTAAGTCACAAATTTATCACGACGGCTAAAAAAAATATAAGAAGGCGCTTGAATTTATTTTTTCATAACTCGGAGAGGAGCTGCGATCGATGCGCCCGCGTTTCGCTAAAAGCCCCACGGCGGCGGCGGCGGTGGCGGTGGCAGGTTCTGGTCGGCCGGTGGGCGACGGGGCGGACGGAGGACGGAGGACGCGTGATCGTTCGCAGTTGGGGTTTGATAATCAGCAGGCGTTGTAGGGGGTGTTTGGAGGCCCAGTCATCCAGGGCCAGATCCAACGCACGTCGCGAGCTCAGTAACAGCAGTCCGAGCGGCCCCCCAACCTCCTCCCACCCGCAAACAATAAATATTATTTTCCCTTTACTTGCGATGGCACCGGAACAATCGGAGGGATTAGCAACACATGTGTCTCCGCTTTTAAGTCCCCCCCCCCCGTGTCCTTGGTCGAGGAGGAGGAGGAGAGTGGGAGATAGAGACAGCATAAGGACTGCCTCCTCCCCTCCTGCCGTTTCGCTTCGGAACTCCCATTCCCATCGTCTCTTTCTCCCCAAGTTTCTCTACGATGACCTCGCTCAAGTCGAGCAACGCGTGTCAGCGCCTGCCTGCCAACACCCTCCGCAGTGGTGCCGTTTGTTTGCTGACCGCTTGGCGCCTTTGAGCGTTAAAAATGCACATCTATCTCTTCCCCACGTTATAAATAGCCTTGCTCGATTTAATAAACGTATTGGCTCTTGTCTATTAATACTTTCAACGGTGCTGTATGTTGCAGGCCGCCTGACAGTTTAGATCTTTGGAATTCCCTTCCATCATCTCTTTACCCATCTTCTTATAATAACCTTTTTTTCAATTTTAGAAACACTTTAACCCGTATTTATTTAGAACTGTGATTGTTGCCCGCTGTTTGGCATTTTGGGCCTGTCAGCCTTTGGCTGAGCAACTGTGATTTAGAAACGTATAACAATATCCTGTAAATGCGCACACTGACACATAATTTATAAGGGGGTGGGGGGGGGGGAATAAACTTGTTATGAATATGGAAACGAATCGATCGCTGTTCTCAAACACAGGCATTGCGTTTCCTCTATCAGAGTTCCTTTATGGCCATAGAGAAAAAAAAACACGTTGATATGCATTCCCCAATTTCGCAGTGTACACCTCACCTTTGCCCCGTCACCAAAAATGCAATAACACCACCAATAGCATCACGCGGCCTGTGAAAGACCCCTTACCCATACGCCCTTGTTTGCAATAGGTCACGGGTTGCAGGGAGCCCACGGGAAATGCATACGAGGGTGTAATCCAATTAATGCTACAATCGATGATCGACCCACAAACAAAGCGTTTCACGCACAGGTTGATGCCAATGTTGACATCGAGCTGCACTCGAGTGCACACACACACCCACACACACACACCCCACACACACACACATCCACCCACACACACACCCCCACACACACACCCACACACACACACCCCACACACACAAACCCACCCACACACACACCCACCCACCCACACACACCCCCACACACACACCCACCCACAAACACACCCACACACACACCCACACAAAGACAAATATCATTTTGTAGCCATGATACTGTTGGGGCAAGTGCTGTTTGCGAGCACCTGTGAAGGCCTACACAGCACATGAGCAGGTGGGTGGCCAACACCACGCCCGGCTTGCCTTTGATCACCCCAATGCTGACATACAAATGCTCATGTATTACACACCACACCAGGTACTCATTTAAGGCTGAGTTGACCTAGGGGGTGCCCAGGGACTGGTCCAGATATTCGTCTCCGATGATGTTGGCCGCGGGGCGGCAATGGATCTGGGGTTGCCGGGTCCGTAAGCGAAGTGCGCTCCTGCTACACCGCGCAGACTCGCACACGGCCCTGCTACGTGACAGATTATCCATGCAAAACACTGGCAGTCTCCCTCACTCTCGCTTGCATCGCTATATACGCATTACTCCACGTGCAGGCAATACCAACCAACAGCTATATAACCAAGCAAGCGATTAGTAAGAAATAATATTTATTATTATGTGAGTACATGCGATATATGAATGAGCCATGTGACGAAAATGAATAGCAATTATAGAGGCGAATTGCTCTCGGACGTGCTTTCAGTTTGTAACCGGTGCGTCGTTCAAATGCAGCGCCTGCTATTATGCTCCCAGAGGTGCGTGGAGCGAAACGACGGACACCATCGCGCCAGAGCAACTCGCGGTTGTGCGGCACGACCGTGAAAAACCCAGCGCAGTCGTAATGAAAGTGAACGATACCCCGTACGGTTTGTTGTTGTTATTCTTAGCTCTTTGGGTAAAGTCACGTTGAAGGGAAACAATAAAATAATAAAATATATATAAAACAATAAAAAAATTCTCACGACGTTTCGACCATAACACAAACGGTCATCATCAGGTGTGGAAAACCAACGGCAAGAAACATTTGAAAGAAGTGGCGGTTTTCAAATGTTTCTTGCCGTTGGTTTTCACACCTGCTGATGACCGTTTGTGTTATGGTCGAAACGTCGTGATAATTTTTATTGTTTTATATTTTTTTATTATTTTGTTGTTTCCCTTCAACGTGACTTTACCGAAAGAGCTAAGAATATGAATTACTGCAGTCACGAAAGCTTTAAATCAAAGTTGTTGTTGTTTTACAATTGGGATACAGTAACGCCATGAGAAAGACTAAATATAGGCAACTTTGGAGCTGACTTTGATGAGCCGGCGAATATGGGAACGTTACATTTTTTTGAGTGAGCAATGGCAAATGTGGAAGGCAACGTTACCAATGGGCCTAGAGTCAAGCGAACGTCTACTCGGGGTGGTTTTGCGGTCACTCCGCAGAAGAAAGAAAAAAGTGTGACTTTTGAAACGTGACCTCATCCTCGGGGGTCACGTACGTCGTGATGGAAATTGTCAAATTATAAATCCGAACGTATGAAAATTAATCCTCGTTATCAGGCGTCCTCCAGCGATTGCCACGAATCAAATAAAATTGACATTTTTGAAACGTGACCTCCTCTTGTTAAGGGGGTCAAACACTGGGTGATGCCATGATTATTTCCGAAATTTCAACATTTCAACGGGGTTTCAGATGGGGATAGAATTACTGTGTTTTGTACTCCAGGGGCTTTTTTGGAGGGGTGGGGGTTACCAAAAAAAATGATCGGTCAATGAAAGGACATTGCAATGTTGACAACATATTTAACACACATTGTCGGGTCTGTCTTCAATACGTTCCCATGTATTGTATGGGTCTCTCTTCAATAAGACACCACACGTTGTATGGGTCTTTCTTCAATAAGACACGAAACTGCAACAGAGTTACCCAGGACTCGAGTGTCAGCAACTCTCTAAGAATGTAATTGTGCATACGAATCAGTCTAATAAGCATGCATTTGTGCATTTCTGCAGCTTTTGTCTGTTACAGCATATCTACTGATGGGGCCAACTGTTCACATGCCAATGTATGACTGTTAATCGGTGTATAGTATAATGCCATCTCCAACTTCTATCCACTTAATCTCTTTGGCCTCTATATCTCTCTGCTGTGTGTAAGGGTCATTACCCAAAATGTTGTGTATAATAAATGTTTATCCTTTTAAGAGAGCGGCGTTTTTGACGAATTTGTTGCGTTTTTCCACGTCGGTATACACGTCTGTTTATGACACAAAACAATATTATCCTCTGGTCGCTAAGCCTTGGACCGCATGGCGGACGTCGTAAGAACGTACATAACGTCGAGTTTCTTGGAAGTCCCTTTTGGTGGCCTGAACGCAGCGGATGACGTCGTCCGTGGGAGCGGCATCGTAAATGAGCCGTGCGCCACATAAATATACGTCGGATGGATGTTGGTGCACAAACACGTCTGCCCAATGTCAACACTTCTCTCTGACCAAACTGGGAAATTTGCACTTGTGTACAGCGAGTGCCCCTCGTAGACACAAAATATAATTTAGGAAGTGTATTACGAGAGAAAGTGACAGCCTCACTTGTAAACTTTGCTGATATACTGCTCGATGATTGTTTCGACTCACTACAAAATGTGCAGCCATGCAAAGCTACTTGTTCCCACTGGTGGATACGGCCTTCGTTAGACGGAGCTCTCGGACATATTTTGGCCTCCTCATCCACGCTGGTCACACTATCTTGGGAAAAGGTGGGAATACCGACACTTTACCCTACCACAAGCAAAATGCCCGATCGACAGTTCTGTGGGCTACCCATTGACATCGCTGGCTACACAGACGCATATAGATTCTGCGCATTTTTTTACACCAGGTAAGCTACGTAGCTCTTTTTCAGAAGCGACCTGGCCACAAGTGATAGCTCAACGAAGTGGCTGATTATGTGGAATTTTTTAGCAGCCAATAATATACACAAGTTAATCGATTATATCTCGTATTGTGCAGTATAAATCGTAAACATTGTGGGCCTCATGAAACTCTGAAGTTGTTGCAATGAATCGCCCTTTATAGTGCATCACACAGCAATGCGAGTTTGAGAGTAATGCATTATTTAACCCTTTTTGTTTCTGAGACGTCTGCAAGTTGCAGCGTGGATCCCGTTTACAGAACACGCAAGCAGTTAGCATTTATTTTATTTAGAGAGGCATAGGCACCGCTGTCTTTAAAGATATTGTACTCACCGCAAAGAACTGTAGCGACACGACCGCACTCTATAATGCCCTCCCGCTTGGCCTTGTGAGAGCTTCAGAACCAATAAAGTTATTTTATTTATTTTTTATTCCTGTTCTGTGCACGTACGTCATCAGAACAGAATAGGAAGAAAAACTGATGATGTATATGTACGTCATCGGAAAGGGTTAAAAGACATGCAAATGAAAACAAACCCTCATTGAAACGAAACACTGCACAAATTGTCCCACGCTCACTCGCTCGCTGCACGTCATCCAAAAGCGCGACGAGCTGCAGCAAACAGAGGCAGCGGGCACTCACGTCGCACTGGAAGGGCTTCTCCCCCGTGTGGGTTCTCATGTGCTCGTCCAACCCTCGCTTCTGGCTGAAGGCCTTGTTGCACTCGGAGCACTGATACGGCTTCTCCTGGGGAGACGGAGAAAGAGAGAGAGATTCGCACACAAGCGTCAGCATAATCGGCATCATCAGCGGCAAATGAACCACAATACCTTGCGGTTTTCATCAAGGAGCATAAACCATCACGCAAACTCCGGTCATCCTCGCAGCAGTGACTTTGGCCAACCATCGAACAACGCTGGTCACTGCATCGCGTGCGTTCAGATATGCTTCTGCGGCCGTCTGGAACGCTCTTCCTTCTGATATGAGGAAGCCACTGGATCTATGCACGTATAAATCTAGTTTGAAAACTAATTGATCGAGAACAGGTTTTTGTGTTTAGTCTGTTGCCCTTCATCCACACCTCCGATTAGCGCGGTTAGCTGCGTACAATGTGAAAGTAGTTCGACATGCATACAGCAGTAACAGCAGTAACAGCATCATCAGCACAAGCGTGACCGCACTGTAGGACAGCTGCGGTGGCGAGATTTTATCTCCCTCGTCCGGTATTCAGAAGGCTGTGGGTTCAATCGCGACCCTGATGTCTGTGTAATCGGAGTTTGCGTGTTCTCTCTGTGGTCGCGTGGATTTTTCTCCGGGTCCTCCAGTTTTTCCCTTTACATTTAGCAACATGCGTTTCAGAGTATTTGGCTGCTATAAATGTCCACGTGGTAAGCCACTTCGTTGTGGCCAAGGTAGCTTCTGAAAAAAAGCTACATAGCTCAATGGGCCTTACCTGCTAAAAGACGGACGTCCACCTAACGAGGCGTCATGCCGCCGGGAAGGAGAAACGAACGGTGACGGCTGGCGCCGCAAAACAGAATCAGTCAGAATATTTTATTTATACTGGAGGAATCCGTGAGCTATAAAACTCGTTTTTCACGGGCCACCTCATCGCCGAGGCGATGGCCGAGCTTCCCGGCTTCGCATGCCCTCGGCCACAGTGCATGAACCGCATCGACATCGTGGCTCAATGTAACGCCTGTGCCTCACAGCAAGAAGGACCTGGGTTCGAGTGCTGAATCAGACACATGTCTGTGTGGAGTTTAAGTGTTCGGCCTCCCTTGTTCAGTATGTTGCTCTATGCCCCCCCCCCCCTGTACCGTTCACATTCTGCTGTAATGTGCACCAATTGCCTACTTTATTGATGGCAATATTGGCATGTAAAATGAAGATCGATTGGTTGGTTTCCTTCTGCTTCTAAGGAACCTACCCGGATATTGAAAAAAAAACAACACAATGTGGTTGGTGTTGGTCAAACACCTTAATTTAGCAGGACCCTTCGCAAAAATAATCTTCGGACTCAGCGACGCTTTCCTGCGATAGCCACTGAGGCAGTGTGCTCCTATTTCATTCTTACAAATGCGCACGCTCCCAACATCGCAACTCATTCACACGCATTCACGCAGTATGTCACGCGTACAAGACGTCACAGCACATGACCATTTACGAGTGCACCGCATTCACGTTCATCACAGATGCACAAACAAACCCAAAAAACATTCGTGCGCGTATTTGCGCTATATCCATACACGCGGACGATAAACACCCTAAACAACAAGACACACCAAACACGCATCACGTGCAGACACAACCAACGCAAACACGCACACATCACGTTGTCAGCTATATCCATACACTAATCACACTGCAAGCCATTATGCACATACAGCCGTATTAATTATGCATATGCGTTATAAATACAAATATCCACGTGAGAGAAGCCATATTGCTTAAACCAATGTAGACATTTTTTTTTAAACACGATGCAGGGAGTTCCATACTTTAAGAAATTAGAATAATAAGTTCAGGCAGACAAATAAAAATTGTCCAGTTTAGTCCCATAATGTAAACCAATGGCTTGTTGAAAAAGACAGAACAATGGACGTCAAGTAACTTACAGAAGTTTAGCCAGGCAGCCACAGAAACCATAAGGGATCTAGAATACTCTCCTGACATTCAGCAATTCCATCTTATCAAAACCAATTCCAAGCCACACGTTGAATGCCAATAAAACTAAGTTGGATCGGGCAGAACACGGCGGCTAGAAGGGATGATGGCCGGTGGTGGAGACCAACAAATTAGTGGTCGGCCAAAGCAGGAAACGTGCCCATGAGGCCATCCATCTGGTAGATGGAGCGATGAAATCCATTGGAGTTTTTTTTTTATTGGGGTGCAATTGTGAACAACAGCCATATCAAACAATAGTACATCTAATGTCACTGCATCTCAAAGACTCACTGCTACAAGGTGTGTGAAGTTAGGAGATGCCTCGTGTGTGTGCTCAGCATTTGAAGGCCTGAAGACCATAATCGGTGATCTTGCCGACAATGTGTTCATCAGGGAGGAAGTTTCGTATCTGGACAGCAGAGTGAAGGGAGCTTCTATACACGGAGCATGTTCTGGCAACTGCAGATGCTCGACATTATTGGCGCACCGCTAGACCGTGAGCGATAGACGTAACGTGCACACAGGAGTGCAGCGTTGCATAGACAAAACCTGTCGGCCTTATCCAGACCACCAACTCAACGGAACGGACCGTGTGGCAAATTTTGTCATTTTGAGACCCACTCAAAGGGTTGAGAAAATGTGGTAATCCCAAACAGCTGGCAGCGAGGCAAAGACACATCTGTAGACTGATTTATTCCTCACTACGGCTCAACAGCACAGTACAGCCATCAACGTTCGCTGCAATGTGCAACCGTGAGAGATGGGGGCAGCTTTGGCGAGGCCTTCGACCAAGCAGTGGATAGACTGTGGCTAACGATGACGATGATTCTGACCTCCAGCCATCCGGGTGGTATGCACAATCACCAGTTGATTAGCCTATCACTGCCCTCACTCCCTGCCTAGGCCGGTGTGCTTTCTACTCAGGGTTTCACGCATGCTGCTCCACGTGCCCGGCAGGCAGCCCCACGGCAAGGCCTCTCGCACCTCAGCTCATTCCCAGCTGCCCTGGCTGCAAAGATATCCAGCACGGTTCAGCGCAGAGCTCACCGCTATAGACGTTGCATGAACTCTGAACTCCGCATGGTGCAGCGCAGAGCTCACCGCTCATACACGGTGCACATGTGTGGTTATTGGGCTCGCCTGTAGGAGCAGGGAGTGCTATGTCAGTGGTCGGCAATGCTAAGCTATCCCAGCGATTCGTATTTGAGTCCCACATCCCGTACAATGGAAACTGGTGGCTGAATTTAGCTTGGGCCCCCGAAGGCCTCCCAAAGATTAAGCGGGTGCGCTGGGTACTCGTGCAGTGAACACATGAAGGCAGTCTCGTGTGATTACGATGACTACAGCGGCCAGAGTTGACCCAACCTCGTCAGATTTCGGAAGGTGTACAACACGTGACGTAGGCCGCAGCATGGCCCTACGTTGTCAGAAGGGGGTTGTGCACGAAACATCCATTGTTGTACTGCACTACGCTCCAATGTCTATGATCCCTGCCTTCACCAACCAGCACTGGCCAAAGTCAAATAACCCCCATGACCCCCCCCCCCCACCCCACACAGCATAGGGAGGCCCTCATCCAGCAGCAGATTGTATCATGTGTGTGACTCCAGCCCCGCCATCCCCTCGTGGTGCCCCACTGACCTTAATAGGTGCTCGCTGACAACCCTTTTTCAAAGCAGCCTGTCCAGATGAGTCAGGGCGATCTCTGTCATTGCGCACATATAATTAGCAGTTGCTAATTGTTTCACTAATAAAGGACCTGCAACCTGAGCTGAAATTCTTTTCTCGCTTTGATTAAAACTAGAATTATGTGAAGTTACTGCTCAAGAATGCAACTGCAATTAAAACTCTAAAAACGTTGACGAAGAATACACTGAAAAATGTAGTCCTGATTAAAATGACTTTTTAATGAGAGAGAAACGAAGTAAACTCAGCCACCATATTTTGATTGTTGCTTGGGCCTACTGTTGATGTGAAAGCCTACCCAGCATTCAGTGGTGTGCGCCATTAAAGGACCCATTGCTATACTCTTTATTCAGACTTAAAAGGCTTTACCCATCTGGCAACCCAGTAAATATGCAACGTTTAGCCAACGTTTGTGTGTGGTTGGAATCAACGTTGGTTCAATGTTGGCCCAATATAAAGATGACCAGCCCAAAACACACTGGCCGGACCCATGATGGCATTGCCAATCCGGCTCACCAAGGAAATACAAACACATTATACAAACATAATAAACTTGGGGATAATGCCATGGTATAATGTTTAGCACTCTGGAGTTTTAATTCAGAGGTGTCTCAGAAGAAAAAAATGTATTCATAGCCAACAACAGAATAACATGTAATCTTTGCGCAGATAGACTAAAATATATTTGCTGTCACTTACCACCTGCAGACTGGCCTGTGTATATATAAACACAGACAAAGATCCCCCGTAGAGCCTATATGGACTGTTGGGGCAAGTGCTGTTAGTGAGCACCTATGAAGGCTGGAAAGGCACACGAGGGAGTGGTGTGCCAGCACCACCCCCGGCTGCCTTTGTCTCCCCAGTGTCGATATTTACACACCACACCAGGAACTCATTTGAGGCTAAGTCGACCTAGGTGAGGCCTAGAACTGGTTCAGATATTCGTCACTGGTGTTGGTCGTGAGCGGGAATCAAACTACACGACCGCTCATCCTCCTGTATAAATACAGGTAGTCCCCGACTTACGATGGAGATGCGTTACGACGACCCCATCGTAAGTCGAAAATATCGTAAGTCGAAGATGGCCTAGCCTACCCAGGAGTCTTAAAGAATGGTGATAATTGAGCAAAACAGAGCAATTTACAGTACCGTATTGTATAAACTATCTACTGTATGTATTTATTAATTACAATACTGTATTGCACAGTACATTTTTAAGTAAAAAACAAGGTAAATTATTAGCCTAGCTATATGAACTACAATTTCATAGAAAGTTTTTTTCAGGAAACAATCCTATCTGCTATAAACACTTTTAACATGCATTGAACGTGTGTATGGTATCGTGGTAACCCTAAAATGAAATCGCTACGGCTATGTGTCATACATGCATTGAACGTATCGTAACGTATCATATTCTACTGTACTCACCAAGATTTTGTCCGTCGTCTGCATACTTGAACGATGTTAGATTGTTGATGGCTACATTAACTTAGTTGTCGGAAGAGGAGGATGGCGATGATCAAGTTACAGTATCGTACCTCGTACGCTGCTGCGTTTGCCTGCCGCGCGAAATTAAAAAATATTTAACAATTTTGTCATATCGCTATCGCCATCGTAAGATCGAAATATCGTAAGTCGGACCATCGTAAGTCGGGGACTACCCGTATAGGTAGTGTCTCACGAACGATGGTTCTATCTCTGTGTGATCCACCAACCCCATGCACTAAATTAGCAGAAAAGCGAGCGGCTCGCAATGAGAAGGCTGAAAATTTAAATCCTGGTTGGGGGACAGGGGTGGTTGACTCAGCCCATCATCATCCCTCCAAGGGTCGACAAAAACAAGCACCACTCTATGGGGGAAGTTAACAGCGGTTGTCCTGCAGATCGACTCACCACTTGCCAAAGGCCCTTGTTTATTTCCCACCACTTGGTTCACGGCTGTGAACAGGAGAATAATCCCCAATACCTCCTTCAATGATCTCCTGAGCTGAAAATCACTTCTTTTTTCGTCGTGACAAACGCTTGGGCAAACAAGAGGGCGCAATCTCCATTCGTCTTCAAAGCAAAGTGAACTTGGGAAGGACATGACACTACAAAGGACAAAAGCCTCGGACGATGCCGGTGATGAATTGTCAGCTTAGCGAGGGTTCTTGCTGCTAATGTCAGGCGGGAGGGGGGGGTAGCCAACAGGAGGAACCGGTCGAGCGGGAACGATTCCTCCATCGGATCCAAAGCGCTAACTATAAATGACACGTCATAACAATAAGGAGTATGACACGTCGCCGTGGAGAGCACAAGTCACGTGTGTATTCTTTAATGTCGTTACTCGCATTCTCCACGGTTGCGCGCGATAGCTCCGCATCGATCGAGGTTTTCCCTGCCTTTAAACATCTGGCGGTTTAGCAGCAGTTGGCTAAAGCAAACCTCACTCTGCCGATGAGAGTCTGAATGTCGAAACCTGTCCGGAGCTTGGTTTGCGTTAAAACCAATGCTGCTTAAAATATGCATATATTTATCTATATTTATTTTATCAGGTAAGGCCCACTGAGCTATGTGGCTCCTATTTCAGAAGCGACCTGTCTATCACGAATGATAGATAGCTTGACCAAGTGGCTTACCACGTGGAAATTTAAAGCGGCCAAATACTCCAAACGCATATTTCTAAAGCGCTCCTAGAGAGGAGGCCATGCTGTGGCTGGCTGATGGGATGCGTGCAAAAAAATATATATTATTTTTACGGGGACAGACAAATATGGGACGGAGACACAGTGTCTGTTTATTTGTGCTGCAACTCGAAATAATGTCATGAGAACGAGGGATTAGCGTGCTGAAAGACGGCTGCGGGCTGCCAGCGGAATCCGGGCGACACAAGCACAGATTGTGGTTTTGGGGCCTGGTCCAGCGCTGCTCTTTGTCGCTATGGGTGGCAGCTCGACCGCGGACGTCAGCCTGCCATGCGCGCGTTTGAACCGGGAGCCAAGAGCACAGACAGAAGGGCCCATCCCATTATTTTTAAGCGCCGCGTCGGCTTTGCGAAAAGATTAACCTTTAAACTGGGAGCGATTTTGCGCGAAACGCTCTTGACGGTGATGGAACTTTAAAGCAAAAGCGGATGAAATTGCAGCCGTCTGACATTGCCAATTCCAAAGTGGCAAAGTCGGGCTTGAAGATAAAAATGCGCGCGTGCCCTCAAAGGCAGGACATGCACAAGTGTTTATATATCTACGCTGTTCACGCGTCGCATGACCGTGAGAGAATAGCCGCAGCATGGGGAACACTTCAGCCAGCGGTAGATAGACAATAGCCGATGATGTTGTTGATGATTAAATAGTCCAAGTGATTTCCTGCTGAAGTGGGCATTGAGGCATTACTCACGTCCCGTTTACAGCCCTCACTGAGCCAGTGGTGGAGATTCCACATTCCTATGGCGGGGCTGAGTCTGTCCTTAAGTCATCTACTGTTAACTTCCCTACAAAGTGGTGCTCACTCATTCTAAATAAACGCATGCAATGTAAGTGATATTTTCTGTTACGTCCAAAAGTAAATGTTTACATTCAAAAGCGAGTTTACAAAATCATTCCTAAAAGCGGACATGTCTGCGGTCAAATTCACTGCGCGGCTCTGTGCTATGTGTTTGTTTGGGTTGTACCGCGCGAACACTCATTCAGAGAAGCTACACAACGCAACCGCAAGAAACTATGCAACCATATTCCCCGGATTGTGACGCACTTTGCTGCGTTGTAGAGTAACAGTTGGAGGCGCGTTGTTGTGGTCCGGTAGCTGCGTGTGCGTTCGTGTGTTGGGACCAGATGAGTAGAACTCGATTGACACCTTTGCTTTGTTGAGAAAATGTTTTGTTTTCCTCTTACCCGGGTGTGTGTTCGGATGTGCATCTTGAGCCCGTCGTTTTTGCTGAACGCCTTGTCGCAGTACTGGCACTGGTACGGACGCTCACCTGGGTAGAGGGCAGACGGGAGCGTCCATCGTTACAACGGCAATAATCGCACAGATTACAACGGCGCCGCGAGGTCCCTGTGATGTGGAACGTAAACAGCAATAAAGGACACAACCGTTGCGGGCGGCAGTTTCGAAAATGAGACTGATGGTAAAAAAAAGCAATTTCCTCTTTCCCCCCCCCCACGCAACAAAGCTACTTTTAGACCGGGAAGCAAAAGACGACGTCTGAGTGTGTCTGTGTGTGTGTTTTATGTTTTATATCTACGATATATTTATTTGCAGGGGAGAAGTAAACACTCAAAAAACTTTTTTTTTAAACTTTTGATGAGCATGAAAAAGAGAGTTTACGACGGCTGGCCTTCCTCAAGAAAAAAAAAAATACTTTCTAAAATGTAATCAAGGACTTTTGTAACTGAGTAAAGAAAATAAACTCACCTCATTGACGGTTATTGTATAAGTGCTGTTAGCAAGCACCGCTTGCTTCGAGGTTGGTGCAACACACAACGGTGGTTGTCGAACAACACCATGCCTGAAGATGCCTTTGTATCCCCCGACTGCAAAGCCGGACCAATCCGTGCTCATTTTTGGCCGAGTTAACATAAGGGAGGAGGGCGGTGCCAGGCCAGGTTCAATTGTCAAGTGCCATTTGGAGTGCGGCCCAGAATCAAACTCTGGTTTCTGGGATCAGCACATCCGATGAACACGGTTGGCCACATGCAGAGGGGAAATAAGTTCAACATACGTACCAGACTAAGTCTTCAGCATGGATGGAGGAATCAATGAGTGAGGTTCATGGAAAAATAGTCACCATGGTAGTAGCAATTGAAGAGTGACAAGGAGTCAAATGGCCACACTGATGGCCATGTGACTCGAGTGAAATGCGCCCCTTATTACTATACCTCCTCTCCCCACTCATGAATGCACACATTCACATTCACATGCAAAAAGCATACACCGCTGTGAAAGTTATCGTTACATTTTTACATCTGCTTTGTAGATCCACTGTTGCACGAAGGCATGCCCACAGGCAGTTACGGGGGGCTGTTTGACCAAACTTCACAATGCTGTAGAAGGGCAGGTCCGGGACCAGTAACAGATCTCATTCGCCGCTGACGATACTCAACGGCCGGGAATCGAACCCCGCTCGCCCGGGTTTCACGGAGCAAGTGCGCTCTAACTACCGCGGTCACAGCTCCGCGTCAAATCCGTGTCGACCAAAAACATGTGTGTCGCACAGTATCTATCACTTCATTATTTATTATTATTTTAATAAGTAATACTGTAATTGCTTTCTAAACATAGATCCCCACGTCAATGGAGGGGTACCATTCTTTTTTTTTTGTCCCCGGAGTTAATCGGAAGCAGACATTCGTTTGCTGGTGGTTGCGGGGAGGTGAGCAGGAGAGGGCTGCAGATGAGGAGCGGTGGTGCAGCGGTTAGCGCGCTACGCTACGAACCCGGCAACCCGGGGTTCGAATCCCGCTCACGGCACAACACCGGTGACGATTATCTGAATCGGTACTGGGCCTCCCCTCGGTCGACTCAGCCTCAAATGAGTACCTGGTAGTGCGGTGCGCAAAACACCTCCACTCGGGGAGGCGTCCGGGCGTGGTGCTGGCCGCCCACCCTTCACTAATGAATGCACGCACTTACATTCACACGCAACACAAATATATCGCTATGAAAGATATCGTTAACAGCACTTCAGTCTATTAAGGCTACACGGGGGAACTTTGTCTTTAAGGGGGGGGGTGGGAGGGAGTTGAAGGAGGCGGCGGCGAGCAGACTAAGGGGTGCACATTGGGTGGGTGCGGTGTGGCTGGAAGTGACTCCAAGTTCCCGTTTGATCCCCCGCGCGCCTTGCGCCATGAGGACTCGTGTGCTCACGGAGCCTCTGTGACTGTCCGGGCTGGTTTTTTTGCCGCGCCACGGAGCCCAACGTCGACGTCTCTCTGCCTGTGCGTCGCCGCTGCCACGCGCCACGTGCCTCGTCGGCTGTAAACTCCGCGCCAGCGATTACCTAAACGGGTGCCGGCGAGCGGACGAGAGTTTGGGCGCACGACGTCGGCGCGCCCCTGCCGCCAGTCCTTATATGACGTTGTTGTTGTTATTTGTTGTTAATGTTGTTGCCTTTTCAGCGGCAGCAGCAACAACAAATGAGTGCAGGGAAAAGCGGAACCAGAGCGCGCGATATTGAACGACCGAGTAAACGTACGTCGCAATCGCTGCACCGAGGTGCGATTTAGGACACGTGCTAACCAAGCATACGAGATGCCGCCTTCCCATAGCTGTCTCTCCGCATTAAAAAAAACAAAAAAATGACGCATCCCACTGGCCATGCAGCCTTCCGGGAGTGCATTTTCTTCAGCAGCATCCCCTCAATGCAAGCGAACTCTGGACCGGTCTCAGCATTCAGTTGTCTTTTGTTATATTTGTAATTTTTAAAGTGACCCGGGCCACTCCTGGAAATGAGACAGTATTTTGGGTCTCTTCACCTGGTTCAATGAAAAGTAAACTTAAACTCATCAGCAGGAATCAGGCCCGCCTGAAGCAATGCTGGCGCATTGCCAGGTGTTCAGAGGCAACGAACCTCCCTCTCTGCCAGACATTGGTCCTAGGTTCGATGCAAAATGATTTTAATACACAATACGTATATTCTCTTCGACGACACAAACGATTAAGTCGTGAAACAGGGGGAATAGAAATGCAAGATAATGGATATTGGGAGAGTGGCCTTGGTAAGTATGAATGCACGCAGTGTTGTGTGGAGGCATAAAGACAAAGATCCCCTGCAGAGCCTCAACAGACTTTGGGGGCAAGTGCTGTTAGCGAGCACCACGAATGAAGGCCGGCACGGCACACGAGAGGATGGGTGGCCAGCACCACACCCGGCTGCCTTCGTCTCACGAGTGGCGATGTTTACACACCACCCGCACCAGCCACTTATTTGTAGCTGAGTCGACCTAGGGGAGGCCCAGGACCGATTCAGATAATGGTGTTGTTGGCCATGAGTAGAAATCAAACTCGGGTCGCCAGGTTTGTAACGCAGCACGCTCACCGTTACACCACCACTCCATAGAAAAAACACGCGCACACACCACCACGCACCACAACAGTGACGAATGATTACCTCAACCTTCAACGTGCGTTTGATTTTCCGAGAAACCGCAATGTTCTCTAAAAATGATGTAATATCTCGGGCTGTGAAATTAAAGGGCATATTGCAAGTTAAGCAAACACTCAGGACGACCCTACGAATAGAGTTAGGCAACACACACGCCCGAAGAGCAACGCACGAGCTTTTGCCAAAGGATAGAATTTTGTTGAATCAAGTTACCCGTTCGTCAGAAATGTTGACATCGACAAAGGAATGCGGCTAAAATCGAAATCGTGGGACGAAAAGCGTGGAGACGCGCACACTTGGGATTACGCTGAGAGACAGAGAGAGGCACGCGAGAACCAGTGAACACGCGCAAAAAGAATCAAGTAAGAAGTCGGGGCATCGGACATGGACGCGTCCATTTCAGGGACGATGGAGGGCAGTTGAGATGCATGGTGGAGTGGACGCCAAAGGAGAGGAACACGCACCAAGGGTTACGTCAACCGATGGTGATGGCTTGGGGAGTCCTTCATCCAGCAGTGGATTAATCATGGCTCATGATGATACCATGATGCAGGCAGACAGGCCAACAGGCCAGGCATTAGATACATTCTGGCATATAGGTGCAACATTAGGATGTTATTTGAATGACGATATCGTTAAATTTGTAATACAAAAGGTAAAGGTGTAGCCCTGAAACCGCTTGCTCACACCACTGCTGGTGGAAGTGCCTCTACGAGAAAGCTCTACGAGAGGCCCCTTGAGAGAGAGAGAGCGTGTATTTGGCCTACTCTTCCACACTGCTCAGAAGTCTTGGAAGAGGTAGGAGGACCCACACTATACCTTGCCACACGTGACCTACGGAGCGGCGACAGCGGTGCATCCGTTTACGCCGCTGGCTTAGACAGGCATTTGAGCAAACCTGACCCAAAATTTAAACTGCCGCGCCGGGCGATCAAATCGACCCGGCGACTTCTGCATTACAAGCCGAGTGTGGTCAGCCACTGACACCACGGCAGCTCCACGTGTAAGCTGCTGCCATCAGGCTCGCTGCATTCCCGCTGGCCTTGTTCGAGATTTGCTGGGCCCTCAATTTGTGGGCCCTCAGCTGTGGAAATGGTTTCAGTGTTCGCGTCACACCCCTCATCAGTACCCCCCCACCACCACCCCACCCAGGGAGCAAACTCTACGAGCTCCGACTTCACGAAACAAATTCAGGTCTCAGATTCACACAGAAAATAGGTAAATTAATGACGGTGGATTTATCAAATTAAAACGCTCTTTCTCCAGTGCGTGACTGGTGCTTCAAACACCGATTCGTGGAACACATAACTTCGCACTGGCCCAAATAAAATTTTTAAAGGAGTGGGCGGGTGAGTGAGTGTGTTAGTGGGTGACTGGCTGAGTCAGTGAGTGGGTGAGTGGATGGGTTGGTGATTGGATCGGTGGGTGGGTGAGTGGGTGAGTGACTGGGTGGGCAAGTATGTCAGTATGTATGTCGAACTTCTTTCGCACCATACGTACAGAAACATACTAATTGGAGGTAACCGAGTGAGTGGGTAAGTGGGTGAGTGCGTGGGTGAGTGTGTGGGTGTATCTGTACATTTACCAACTGAGTTGCTCAATCACTAAGAACTGCATCTCCCTCATAGTTTGCCCTTCGTTGAAATTATTAGTTGTGGGTTGAAGAGTGCAGACGTTCTGGATGGCTGGGCCAGAGCAAGAGGGACGTGAGCCTGATGAAAGGCGCCACGTTTTGTTCGCGACAACAGCGCCGGTGGGAGGGAATGAGTGGGAGGAAGACATCTACAGCCGCACAAGCGGGAATCAAAGATGTAAACATCTGGGCAGGGCAGGGAAATGCTGCACGATATATCAAGGGGGCAATTTTTCCGTTG